ATTAAAATTTTTCAGAAAAAGAAAAGAAAAACTTAAAACACATATAAATCCTAAACAAATCTAAATACATTAAATTAAATAGATTATCTTCTCTAAAAAATAATAATTGCAATCATTAAACACATTATAATATGCTCTAAACATTTTCTAGTATCATACTTATATTATTATCCATCATTCTGTATAAACTCCCTCCAAAACACAAATTAAACATTACTTTCTTTGAATATCTATACCTACAATATAAAATCTAATCTCTCCCTCTTTCTTTATCCTAGAACACAAAAATAAACATATAAACCTTCATTATACCATTAAAACTAAATACTCTTTGAATACTTAAACTAAATACTTGAACTTAAACTTCTTATCTAAGATTTTCATTCAATCTCCATAATCTTCTCTCCTATAAAAAAAAAAAAAAAAAAAACTTAAAAGACATATAAATCCTAAACAAATCTAGGTACATTTAATTAAACAAGTTATCTTCTCTTAAAAATAATAATAATAATAATTAAAAAAAACCCCAATCATTAAACACATTATAATATACTCTGCCCCTTTATGGATTACTGCCTTGTCGTGGCGAAGGGGCTTGCGTAACTCAATGAAGCTATAAGCTATGCCGTGCAGGGCCACCCAAGACGGACAGGTTATAGCAGAGAGTTCTGACAAAATGTGATCCACTGGAGAAGGAAATGGCAAACCACTCCAGTATCTTTGCCATGAAAACCCCATGGACAGTACTAAAAGGAAAAAAGATATGACGCTGGAAGATGAGCCCCTCAGGTCGGAAGGTGTCCAATATGCTACTGGGGAAGAGCAGAGGGCTAGTACTAGTAGCGCCAGAAAGAATGAAGCGACTGGGCCAAAGCCGAAAGGACGCTCAGCTGTGGATATATCTGGTGGTGAAAGGAAAGTCCGATGCTGTAAAGATTTTTTCTCCATAGGAACCTGGAATGTAAGATCCATGAATCAAGGCAAGCTAGACGTAGTCAAAAAAGAGATGACAAGACTGAACATCGACATCTTAGGAATCAGCGAACTAAAATGGACAGGAATGGGTGAATTTAACTCAGATGACCATCAGGTATACTACTGTGGGCAAGAATCCCTCAGAAGAAATGGAGTAGCCTTCATAGTCAATAAAAGAATAGGAAAAGCAATACTGGGATACAATCCCCAAAATGACAGAATGATCTCAATTCGAATCCAAGGCAAACCATTCAATATCACAGTAGTCCAAATCTATGCCCCAACCACTGGTGCTGAAGAGGATGAAATTGACCAGTTCTATGAAGCCCTACAGGACCTTATAGAATTAACACCAAAAAATGATGTCCTTATCATCATGGGGGATTGGAATGCTAAGGTAGGAAGCCAAAAGATAACCGGAATAACAGGCAAGTTTGGCCTTGGAGTACAAAATGAAGCAGGGCACAGGCTAATAGAATTTTGTCAAGAGAATACGATGGTCATAACAAACACTCTTTTCCAACAACCCAAGAGACGGCTCTACACATGGACATCACCAGACGGTCAACATAGAAATCAGATTGACTATGTGCTCTGCAGCCAAAGATGGAGAAGCTCTATACAGTCAGTAAAAACAAGACCAGGAGCTGACTGTGGCTCAGATCATGAGCTTCTCGTTGCAAAATTTAGGCTTAAATTGAAAAAAGTAGGGAAAAGCACTAGGCCACTCAGGTATGAACTAAATCATATTCCTGATGAATATACAGTAGAGGTGACAAATAGATTTAAGGAACTGGATCTGATAGACAGAGTGCCTGAAGAACTATGGATGGAAGTTCGCAACATTGTACAAGAGGTAGCAACTAAAACCATCCCAAAGAAAAAGAAATGCAAGAAAGCAAAATGGCTGTCTGAGGAAGCTTTGCAAATAGCTGAGGAAAGAAGGGAAGCGAAAGGCAAAGGAGAAAGAGAAAGATACACCCAATTGAATACAGAATTCCAGAGAATAGCTAGAAGAGATAAGAATACCTTCTTAAATGAACAGTGCAAAGAAATAGAAGAAAACAACAGAATAGGGAGGACCAGAGATCTCTTCAAGAAAATTGGAGATATGAAGGGAACGTTTCATGCAAAGATGGGCATGATAAAGGACCAAAATGGCAGAGACCTAACAGAGGCAGAAGAGATTAAGAAGAGATGGCAAAACTACACAGAAGAACTATACAAGAATGAGCTTAACATCCCAGATAACCACAATGAGATGGTCACTGACCTCGAACCAGACATCCTAGAATGTGAAGTGAAATGGGCCTTAGAAAATCTGAGCAACAACAAAGCTAGTGGAGGTGACAGTATTCCAGCTGAGCTATTCAAAATCTTAAAAGACGATGCAGTAAAAGTGCTACACTCAATTTGCCAGCAAATTTGGAAAACTCAACAGTGGCCACAGGATTGGAAAAGGTCAGTTTACATTCCAATTCCAAAGAAAGGCAATGCCAAAGAATGTTCAAACTATCGCACCATTGCACTCATTTCACATGCTAGTAAAGTTATGCTTAAAATCCTACAAGCTAGACTCCAGCAGTATGTGGATCGAGAACTACCAGAAGTACAGGCAGGATTTCGAAGAGGCAGAGGAACTAGAGATCAAATTGCCAACATACGCTGGATCATGGAGAAAGCTAGGGAGTTCCAGAAAAACATCTACTTCTGCTTCATTGACTATGCAAAGCCTTTGATTGTGTGGATCACAACAAATTGTGGCAAGTTCTTAAAGAGATGGGAGTACCAGACCATCTCATTTGTCTCCTGAGAAACCTATATGCGGGTCAAGAAGCAACAGTGAGAACCGAACACGGAACCACTGATTGGTTCAAAATTGGAAAAGGAGTCCGGCAAGGCTGTATACTGTCCCCTGCCTATTTAACTTATATGCAGAGCACATCATGAGAAAGGCAGGGCTAGATGAATCAAAAGTTGGAATTAAGATTGCCGGGAGAAATATCAACAACCTAAGATATGCAGATGATACCACTCTAATGGCAGAAAGTGAAGAGGAACTAAAGAGCCTCTTGATGCGGGTGAAGAAGGAGAGTGCAAAAGTTGGCTTGAAACTCAACATTAAGAAAACCAAAATCATGGCATCCGGCCCTCTCAATTCCTGGCAAATAGATGGGGAAGAAATGGAGGTAGTGACAGATTTTATTTTTCTGGGCTCCAAGATCACCTCAGATGGGGACTGCAGCCAAGAAATTAAAAGACGCTTGCTCCTGGGGAGGAAAGCTATGGCAAATCTAGACAGCATACTAAAAAGCAGAGACATCACCCTGCCAACAAAAGTGCGTATAGTCCAGGCCATGGTTTTCCCAGTTGCAATGTATGGCTGTGAAAGTTGGACCATAAGAAAGGCTGAGCGCAAAGAATTGAGGCCTTTGAACTATGGTGCTGGAGAAGACTCCTGCGAGTCCCTTGGACTGCAAGGCGTTCAAACCGGTCAGTCCTAGAAGAGATCAACCCCGACTGCTCTTTAGAAGGCCAGATCCTGAAGTTGAAACTCAAGTACTTTGGCCACCTAATGAGAAGGAAGGATTCACTGGAGAAGAGCCTAATGCTGGGAAAGATTGAGGGCAATAGAAGAAGGGGACGACAGAGAATGAGATGGCTGGATGGAGTCACTGAAGCAGTAGGTGTGAATTTAAATGGACTCCAGAAGATGGTAGAGGACAGGAAGACCTGGAGGAACATTGTCCATGGGGTCGCGACGGGTCGGACACGACTTCGCAATTAACAACAACAACAATATACTCTGAACATTTTCATATCATACTTATATTATTATCCATCATTCTTTATAAACTACCTCCAAAACACAAATTTGAACATTACTTAAAACATTAAAATTCCCTTATACACATTTAAATCTTTACCAATAACAAATTCCATCCACAATAAACACATTCCTTATCAGTCTCTCTTGTCCATAAACCATTAAAATTCCCTTATACACATTTAAATCTTTACCAATAACAAATTCCATCCACAATAAACACATTCCTTATCAGTCTCTCTTGTCCATAAACCTCAAAAGAAGTGCTTTGAAAACTGCCCTTAAAGCTAACTCCAAAAAGTTTATAAATCTTGCTTCTCCCACAGACTCAGTACTCTTTTGAATACTTAAACTAAGTACTTAAACTTAAACTTCTTATCTAGAATTTTCATTCGATCTCCATCCTTGTTAGTCTCTCTTATCCATAAATCTCGAAAGAAGTGCTACTACTACTACTATTATTATTATTTTTTTATTATTATTATATTAAATCCACACTGACTGCCAACTGTTTAATGCACTGATTTGACTTTTAAAGCCATATAAACTTAGGATCAGCAGAAGAATCTCTTTTGAAGACGAACTTGCTGCCAGAAACTTAGCTATCTGATGCACTCTGAGACACTGGAAATGAATTTCTCTGTTGTTCTCAATGTAAGAGAATCTTTCTGCTCACTCTCATTATTTAGGAAAATGTAGTGGGAAGAAAGCAACTCCTCTCCCAAGCTCTTATCTTGATTTTTTAAATATTAAATTTATATATCACCTCATCATGTTATAAGGGAAATGGGCAGCATATAAATTTAATAAATACATTTTGTGTTTTTGTTTTAATTGCTGTAACCAGCTTTATGAACAGAATGACAGGTATGTTGTATAATTCTCCTAAAAGAAGATAGATAGATTCATAGTTAAGGCACCTCTTTGAGGGAAGACAAGACTCTTCCTTGTAAGGTAGGCTTTTAATTGTTGATGGTTGCTTGCATTCTGGTTTTATGAAATGAGACTCCCATAATCAATCAAAGGGCAACTTGAATAATAAACCATAAGTACACAGATAAATGGCCCCTTTGCAGAGAAACTGGTGGAGAGGTCTTTGGAGAAATCTGATGACAAGATTCTCTCAATTCCTCAGCTCACAAACTCAACTGTTGGTTCATAGCTCTAATAATATATATATATTAAAATTTTCTTCTAGGAATTGAGCAAACACTGACACCATGAACCCTTCTCAGGAAATAATGGGGCCTTTTGGTCCACTGGCCATTTGCTATAAAAACGCCACAAGCAGGGCTTTACGCCGGAAACGAGAGTTCATCCCGGAAGAAAAAAAAGACACCGTCTACTGGGAGAAGAGGCAAAAGAACAACGAGTCTGCAAAACGTTCCCGGGAAAAGAGGCAGTTCAGCTATTTTGCAATTGAGAGCCAGATGGCTGCCCTCCAGGAGGAGAATTTTCACCTCCGTTGGGAGCTCCAACACCTAAAAGCCCGTTGTGGTCTCCTTAATCATATTGCAGAACAACCAAATGCCAGTGTTAACTCTCTGTTCTGCACACAAGGTAACTGCTGGTCAAGGGCCCAAGGCACCATTCCTTCAGCAGAAAGGTTGTTGGATTATATGTGGATCCCAAGGGAACATCTTGATTCCAACCCAAAGCATATGGCCTTCCTCAAGCAGTACAACATGGTTCTTTCACAAGGAAAGAATAACCCTACTTTTTCCAGTTCTGCCTTCCTTCCAACTTACTTCAACTGCCAACTTATACAGAGATATTCCCACCATTTCCCAATATATGACAGATCTCACTTTCCAATCAAGTTGCCAAATACAGGTGAGGTAGGGAAGGAAGGTCCTCAAAACAATGACAGTGAGAAGGAAACAATGTCAGATGTTTCAGAATATCCAATGATGCCCCCAAATTATTCTGCTCTGCCTCATAAACTTAGGATTAAAACAAAAAAACATCAACTTCTGTGATAAGAATGTCAGTAGACATAATTTGGCTGAAAATAATAAACTAAAAAGAGAAATATTTGGATTGCAATCAAATTGGACTTCTCACATCTTTCTAATATAGGAAGACTTTTGTTTTTAGCTTCATGAAACTAAAGTACTAGGTCTCAAATTGTGGCTGAGAGAATTGATGTATGTCAGTTGCAGCTATGTATTCTTCCTATCTCTTTTGAGTTTTTATTTCTGAATCCTGGGGGTTATAAAATGGAATAAAATCTTGTAACCCTATACAGTTGTACATTGGGTCTTCAATATATTTTTCGGTTTGTGCTAACTTTTTACCTTCAATTCCTCTGATACAGGAGCAAGACATTTCAGGCTTATGATTTAAGTTTTTAGACCTAGCTTAGAAATCTCAATGTGTGAAACTCAATTTGAATTCATAATCTGGTTTAAGTCATAGCTTAACAAAGGCCTATAGTTTGAAGGTGGGAATCCTAGGGCTGAATAACAAGCAGTTTGTCCCAGGTTAAGCACAGCCAACTAAGCATATGCCAAGGACTGGAATACACCACATCATCATCTAGCCCTCCCCAGTTTACAAGGAAGGGAATCAATCGATCGTTGCCTCTTCTCGCTGTCCAGGAAAACATTGTCCATTTTCTGGTTTGTGCTAGATCAGTGATGGTGAACCTTTTAGAGATGGAGTGCCCAAAACTGCCCCTGCCTCTGCTCCACCCCTGCCCCGCCCCTGCCCTGCACCACCCCGCCTGCCCGCAGGGCCACTCACAGCCTCCAGGGCCCGCCACAGATCACCCAGGCAGCCCAGCAGCGCCATGGCGGCCACGCCCTCTGCCCGCGCCCCACAGCATCAACTGTGCGGGATGGGGCATGAAGGCAGAGTCCTGTCTATGGTGCCTGGCTAACATGTCCTTGGCTGCGCTGCTCCGTGTGGACCATGTTCGGGGGTGACTCTCCTCAAGGAGGGCTGCTAGTGAGGAGGGGGCCGTGTGGGGAGGCGAAGCTGGGGCAACGGCACGTGTGACAATCTGAAGTCACAACAGCACTGATAAAAGGGCTTGTATAATCATTTTTCACACTTACAACTATTGCAGCATCTCCATAGTCACATGATGAAAATCAGGACACTTGGCAACTGACTCATATTTATGACGGTTGCAGAGTTCTGGGATTATGTGATCACCTTTTGCAACCTTCTGACAAGCAAAGTCCATGGGGAAGTCAGATTCATTTAATAACCATGTTATAAACTTAACAGCTGCAGTGATTCACTTAACAACGATGGCAAGAAAGTCATAAAATGGGAAAAAACTCACTTAACAACTGTCTCACTTAAAAGCAGGCATTTTGGGCTCAGCTGTAGCCATAAATTGAGGAATACCTGTACTTCCAATCCGACTGATTACTGGGTGCTTTAGCTCTAGTCACTGCTTTTATTGGCTATTTTTTAAATAACTTCATCAGTAGAAAAAAATGAGGCTTTTTTTGTTGTTGTTCTCTGCTGCAACAGGAAAAGGGTGGACTTCTTTCTCTATTCCTTTTTAACCAAATAAGATTGACAAAAGTTCTACCATTTTCCCATCTGGGCCAGTGAACAAGGTAAAACTGTTTTTTTACTTTTCTTTTTTAAATCAAGCCTTCAGTGGATGCACTAGTTTGTAAGGTATCAAATACAAAGGGAGAGTCACTGGAGGGAGGGTGTCCTATTTGTCACTATAAACCACATGTGATGTCTTCCAAGCCACTTGTATAAGGAATGGGAGGATAGAGAAGCAGGCGAATCCATCAGTCAAAGTCCATGATAAGCATAGTTGCAGCTGCCAAAAAGGCCAACATAGTGCTGGGCTGCATTAACAGAGGGATAGAATCAAGATCACGTGAAGTGTTAATACCACTTTACAATGTTTTGGTAAGGCCACACTTGGAATACTGCATCCAGTTTTGGTCACCACGATGTAAAAAAGATGCTGAGATTCTAGAAAGAGTACAGAGAAGAGCAACAAAGATGATTAGGGGACTGGAGGCTGAAACATATAAGGAACGGTTGTTGGAATTGGGTATGTCTAGTTTAATGAAGAGAAGGATGAGGAGAGACATGATAGCCATGTTCCAATATCTCAGGGGCTGCCCCAAAAATGAGGGAGTCAAGCTATTCTCCAAAGCACCTGAAGGCAGGACAAGAAGCAATGGCCATCTCAGGGTTGGCAATGCAGTTCCTCAGATTTGTAGTCCTGGGAGACTTCAATCTGCCATCCCTGAGTTTGGCCTAGAAGCAGCTCAGGAGTTCATGGCCACCAGAATAGATAGGGGCATATCCCAGGTCATCCATGGCCCAACTTGAGACAGTGGTCACCCTCTGGCTATGATCTTGTCAGAGAAATAACAATATGTCTGCCAATATACCCTTTGTCTTGGTCAGGTCATGCCCAGGTGGCTTTGAGATTCTCTCATGCCGGCCCTCTCCATAGGGAGGCTGGACCTATTTGAATGGCTCACCCACAGAGGCTGATGAGGGAGCTGGGATAGAACCTGGCAACACTGCTGCATACTCCTATGGTGGCTTTGGCCTGGAATCAGAGAGCAACTGCAGTCCTAGACAGGATCGTGTCTATGGGCCCCCACATGGCCCTTTGGCCCCAATACTTCCCATGGTTCACAGAGGAGCTGAGGATGCTGAAAAGGGCCAAGAGATAGCTAGAGCATCACTGGCAGAAAACAAAGAATAAATCCAACTGAACACAGGTTAAAGCCATGATTAAGGCCTACCTTGTAGCGGTAAGAGAGACAAAATGTCAATATTTCTCCACACTTCTTGCATCTTCAGAGTGTCGCCCAACAGCCCTGTTCAAGGTCACCCAGTCCCTCCTCAAGAAAGAGGGCTCAGATGATCATCTTGTGCAACACCTGACAGATTAAATTACTGAGATTTGCTCTTGGTTGGAGCCCAAGAGTGGTACAATTCTGTTAGAGATGCCCAGGAATTGGACTCTATTTAATCTGGAAGCAGTTTGATCCTGTTGGACCTGAGGAAATGCGCAGGGTCCTTGGGGCTGTCAACCCAACTACTTACTTATTAGATCCCTGTCCCTCCTGGTTATTGAAAACTTCCAGGACTGTGACTTCTGGGTGGGTGGCAAGAGAGGCGTCCTTTGTAGGGAGGGTGGTGAAAAAAGTGATTGTACTGCAGCTCCAGAGGACCTGGATGAAATGGATTATCTGGACCTGTAAAGCTCTTTATGACATGGATCCAGGATATCTGCAAAACCGTTTTTCCCCAATGGGTTTGGCTCATCCCATTCGTGCTGGCAGAAGGGGCATACTGCTGATCCCATCAGCCAAAGAATTTTGGCTGGTGGGATCCAGGAGACGAGCCTTTTCTGCCATGAATCCTGGCCTTTGGAATATCTTGCTGCAAGAGGTAAGATCCTTCCCCCTTTTTTAATCTTCAGGAAACGCCTTAAAATGCCGGCTGTCATGGGGTCCTGAAGGAGAAGCTGCTAGCTGGAGGTGGTTGATGCAACAACAGAGAAAGTATCCCCACCTCTCTGTTCCAGACCTGTGTTTTTTTAGTTTGTGTTAATTTTTTTGTAATTTTAATTTGTTTTTATATTTATATTGTTATATTGTTTGAATATTTATAAATTTTATCTCACTGTAAGCCGCTTGGAGCCTCCTCAAACCACAAGATGGGTAGCAAATAAATTTTAATAATAAATAAAATAAATATTAAACTTGTATACAGAAGATGGTTACAAAATCTAAATACTACTTCTATTTTTTAAAAACTCAAATCTCTCTAGATTTTTCTACAAATAAAAAAGCAGCATTTACACTTTGTACCCAGTCTTTTTATTTTACATACAGCTTTGTAGTCCAGATTTTATGAGTATTTCATCTTGTAAACATAGGGTTAACATCTCATTTTGCAAGAATCCATCCACAATATTAATCTAGGCCAGAAAGGCCGTATGTTCAGTATCTTTTGGTTGTGTCTTGTCATCATGGAGATTTTTGCAGCCCACATCTCATAGCTCTGCAAAACAAGGCATTTTAAGTACTGTTCAAGGAGCTTCCATTTTACTTTCGCTCTTTGCTAGCTTCTGCTATTAAAGTGATCTCAGTTTTTGCATGATATGTCCACACAGCTGGCATCTGACAGGCCATGCTGAATCTCTGAACAATAAATGCAAACCACATTTCAAGCCTATGCAACACAGAGATTTATTATGAGTTGCTTTTCAGCCATTTCAGCCCTAGCTATCCCGGGCTTCATTTGGGCCATTCTAATAGCACTTCCTATGGACAATGAATGGTCCATGCTCATGGTATTGTTCCTTTCTGATCCAGCATGGTTGAAAATTTTTCAGGGAAGCAAGTATGGATCCTCCAGTCCAGACGGAATAGTGCCTGAGTGGAACAGCCATGACTTTGACTTTTGTATTTGTCTGCATGCTGGACATTACATCATGAGTAAATCTCCTTTCAAATCCTTCAAAAAGAGATGACCCTCCGCATAATATTATGTTTTCATACATTTCTTTTCTGGATTGTTCAGGGACCTTCCTTAAGCTTTTTTGGGCCATGTCATGGATTCCTACAAGTGTAAGTCCAGGCATTTGAGGAGGGCTGAACAACATTTCTGGACACTGAAATCTCTCCTTTCCTAAAGTGATTACTTGGCCATCTGGTAACTGGTAGTCCACCATGTATTCTCTCTTTGGACGATTCCACTCAGTCTCAAAATCAAGTGCAACATAACAGCATTTTTGTTTGATATCATCAATAACATCCAACATTCTTTCATCAAAGTAATTCCCCATGTCTTTGAGGAGATCCATCAAAAAAGATGTCATATTGGCTCCAGCAATGTCCATCCTTTCTATAGCATGTGGCAAATTGTATCCTTGATAGACTGGTACAGAGTGTGTCATAGCATAGCCTGTATCTACCACCAACCCACTAATTTTTCCATGAGCATACACTGATAGTACAGACTGATATGCCACATACATTCCAGGAGAATTGAGAGACTCAAAGACAACCTCCACCAATTTTTCCCGGTTTGTAGTTGGACAGAGAGGAGGATCAGACATTAAAAGAGCATGGTCTTCTGGAGCAACTTTGAGGTCATGGTAGAACAGGTGCCTCCACAGTGTTTCAGCTGCTTCCCAGTCTATGATTATGCCATGCCTTACTGGAAAAATAATATCGGTATCAGGTTCCAATCGAGCTTGCTCTCCAATGAATGTATCTTGTCTATCTCTTCTAGTCCTCATAGATTTTTCTGTAGGGTGTCCAACTAATGTCCCAATGACTGACTGGGGGGTCTGCTGACCTGCAAATCCAGCTTTACATGTCCCTGTACCAGTATCTATGACAATAGCTCCTGTCTTGACAACTGAACGCCCTCTTTCTGGAGTACTTGACCTTCTCATGGTAACCCCTCGTTCTCTGGAAGATGATCGAGATCCAGATGGCTGGTCTAATGCATATCCTGTGGATGGGGTCCTTTTTCTTGAGTATCCTGGGCTCATTGGCCTTGATCCTGGGCTCTTTGATCGTAGAGATCCAGGACTCCTTGGATAAGAAGGCCCTGGACTGCCTGTCCTATGACTTCTGGGTAACATAGTAAATGTGTCTCAAGATACCTTCTCCAAGAGCAAATCACGTTGTGTAATACTTAAATGTCAAGGGCCTTTGCTTTGGCTAACCATGAATTCTTATCAATATCTCTGGTGATCTTGCTTCAGATAGGCAAGTAGCACTGCCCAATGATGATCCCTTCCCTCCAACCATTGCTTGGGGGAAAGTGCGTCAGCTCATCCTGCCACTGTCCTGTCCATCTGGAAGCTTTGAAATGTTCCACAAGGAACAATGGCCAGAAGGAAAGAATCTTAGAATCTTAAGAACTCATAGAATGCCATGAGTCATCCAGATCAACTTTCCATCAGGGATATAAATACATTCATTTAAAATTGTCCCCAGGACCTCACTGATATCCACAAAAAAGGAAAAATATTAACTGAATCATGGCAACTATATTAACTGTTCACAAAAGACAGTTTGCTTTTTACTAGCATTTTCCCCCTAAGAATCAAAAGCTAAGGAATATTATGATGACTGAATTTTCTGCTATGGCAGGATCATGCATCAGCTTTCAGTCATTTATTTCATTTTAAGAAAATAAGACGAATCCTACCTCTTCAGGCTAATAACCCATCCAGTTCAGCATTCTGCATCACACAATGGTCAGCTAGATACATTTAATAATAATAATAATAATAGTAATAATAATAATAATAATAATAATAATAATAATAATAATAATAATAATAATAATAAAGTTGGAAGGGACCTTGGAGGTGATCTAGTCCAACCCCCTGCTCAGGCAGGAAACCCTATACCATTTCAGACAAATGGCTGTCCAGTCTCTTCTTAAAAACTTCCAGGGTTGGAGCATTCACTGCTTCTGGAGGCAGGTTGTTCCACTGGTTAATTGTTCTAACTGTCAGGAAGTTTCTCCTTAGTTCTAGGTTCTTCTCTCCTTGATTAGTTTCCACCCGTTGCTTCTTGTCCTGCCTTCAGGTGCTTTGGAGAATAGCTTGACTCCCTCTTCTTTGGGGCAGCCCCTGAGATATTGGAACATTGCTATCATGTCCCTCCTTAACCTTCCCTTCATTAAATTAGACATACCCAATTCCAGCAGCCGTTCCTTATATGTTTTAGCCTCCAGTCCTCTAATCATCTTTGTTGCTCTTCTCTGTACTCTTTCTAGAGTCTCAGCATCTTTTTTACATTGTGGTGACCAAAACTGGATGCAGTATTCTAAGTCAGGAAGTTTCTCCTTAGTTCTAGGTTGCTTCTCTCCTTGATTAATTTCCAGTTTGAAGAAACTCAGAAGCATAGATGGAAGTCTTCCATGGTTGCTTTCCTGCAGTTGGTATTTAAATGATATTCTTTGTGACTGAGGAGATATTTAATCATGAAATCTAGGACCTACTGGTAATTTCATCTACTACACATCTGTCCAGTTCTTGTTTCAAGCCATCACTACATGCAATAGTAATGAATTCAGCATCTGAATTATGCATTGCCATGTTCTCTATTTCATCAATAGAGCATAATATTTGGGGCAAAGATCAAAAAGAGATTGGTTAATCCAATCGGTTAACTTTAGCCTCAAACGGATCTGATCATTTATAAATTAAACTATGTTAATGTATTTCCATTCAGTCAATGTACATAGGACTATCCCAACCCAGCCTACTAACTTGTTTTGGCTATCTAGTCCAAGAGATGGAGAGAAAGAATGGTTAATAAAATCAAGTCTCATTGCCAAGACCTGGCAGCACTGAACATACCTAATCCTGTTTAGCTGCAGTGGCTAAGCCATGCCCACCCCTAGTCTTTTGATGGAGAGGCCAATGAGACCTGGCACTTCCTTAAAAAAGAGAGACTCTGTATTTCTCATATAGGAAGTTCTGACCTACAGCATTTACTATGCTGCTGGAATCACCATTAAGGAGATCTGTTTGGCATAGCAGGTAATTGCATTCTAAGTGGTATGAAACAAGGTCATTGTGAGGTCCTTTCTTTTACAGGAGCTGAAAGCTAAAGCTGTGTTTCTCAATCTTAGTAACTTTGAAATGTCTGGACTCAACTACAGAATTCCCAGCCAGCATTCTGTGAGTTGATACCCAGACCTCTTAAAGTTGCCAATGTTGTAAAATACTCATTTAAAATCTAATATAAGACAGTGAGAAAAAGCTCTGTTTGGCCATGACTTTCTACATTATACAAGGCCGTCAGAGGAGTATCTGGTGAAAAGGTATGAAGCAAGGTCAAAACTTTCAAACAGTGTATGCAGTGTCATGACTGAAGACTTGTACCTAGAAAAGAACTGGGCCTATGATTACAACATTACCTGTGAAATCTTGCATTATTGAACCAATTCCCACATGTTCCTGTGCCTTTATATATCTCTAACATGACTTCTTTTATCTATCCTGGCTCCAAGCAAGAAAAGACCGTCACTTTTTCAAAATAGGGAATCTGCTTCTGCCCTTCAATTATTTCCTTTTATCTCTATTTCACTTACCACCTTTTCTGGATCTACAATATTTCTTTCTTTTTTTTTTTAAGAGGTGGTGATTAGACCTGTACTCTAAATCTAGTTTCGTCATAGCTTTATACACATTGGTGTTTTACATTCACAGTTGCAACCCCAGGAATTCATTCATTTGACATATTTGAACTGAACTGAACAGTCCTTTTAAGTTCATATGAACTTAATTTCAACAACCTGATCTAGAATTTGACTGAATGAGGAGGATGTTCAACCTTTTAGTAATTGTGGCTGTGAAACAGCTGAGAGTGTGAAATTCCACTTGCAAAGAAGCCAAGAGATGAAGCACAAACTTGATATTCCTTCTTATTCTAGTTTGTTTGTTTGTTCATTTATTTATTTATATGTCTACCCATCTTAACCTCATGACTTGGACTGTGAATCTTTTTCCCAACTCCCAAATCTATATTTAACCTCTCAATAGACCACAGCTCATATATTTCATGTTTCTCTTGGTCCTGTCTTACCTTTGTCTTTATAATTATTTCTTCTCTGTTCTCCCATTATTATTTTTTCTCAATTTCATACCAGATATTATTTGAAAAAAAAACAAACAAAAGTAATATTATAGTAGGGGTACTACTCATGTGGCTCATCTTATCTTGAAGAATAACCAAATTTCCCATGTTAGCCGGCAAGGCACAAAGAACCAATGTGAAGTAGCTTACTAACTAGTTTGAGATTATTCTTAGCCGTGAAAGCTTATTGGCCAACTTTGGGGCAATCACTGTCTCTCAACCTAGCACCCATTCCAATCCTATTTCAAGAAAATTGGAGGAAGAAGCAATATGTTCAAACCACAGAATGTTAACACAACTGAACTTTTCTTTTTTCCAGGCCAGGGGTGGGGACATGTGTGGATTGTACCTTCAAGTCAGTCTAGACTCCTGGACTAATCCCTGCAATTTTCTTGGCAAGGTTTTTCAAAAGCACTTTGCCATTGTCTTCTTTCTAGGACTGAGAGAATGACTGACCTAAAGTCACCCAGCTGGTTTCATACTTAAGGTGGGACAAACTCACAATTTCCACAATTCTAACTTGGTGTCTTAACCACTACATCAAACCGGCTCTCCTAAAATATTCTTAAAGAAGCACTATTTTGTCATTATAACTTGGAGAAATAAAGCCTGATGCCAGAGATAAAGGATTGCGCACATTTTTATTGTTTGTGAGCTGCAAGGTTTGTGTGCAGTAGATGCAGAACATGCTACAGCAAGGATTGCTGAGTTTTGCATATATTCAGTTATTAATCCATTTTAATTGTCCACACATCAATCCTGCATTTTTTGTAATTTTCCCTACATTGAACACAACTTTTCCCAATCTGTTTTCTTTTTTGTACACAACTTTAATATCCATAATTTTGCAAGTGGCACTGCATATTATGCAGACTACTTTCCCAAGGTATACATCTTTCCCAAATATAAATGTTATATACAGGAATGCATTGCATTCAAAATTCAGAAAAGTGCAAAAGTCACACAAGACTCTGGACTCTTTCAAGCTTTCTAACATCTCTTGCTCATCTGAAGAACTGATTCATTTATTTTTATCATATATATTTAGTTTGTTGTGACAGTATCAGTAATTATATCTGTGGAATCTTAAAGACAGGTAAGTTGTAAGGGTAATTGAGTTGATTTGAGTTAATTTTGATGATCAAGATGATCAAGGATAGCAAGATGGCATGATAACCAACCCTAGCAAATGGCTAGTCGTGTCTCATAAGCATATAGAGCAGGCATGTCAAACCCGCGATGTCATGGAACTTTTTCCCCATTGCCGGCAATAGGGTGGACACAATTTCAGTGTGACATATCCGGCCTGTGGGCTGGCAGTTTGACATGCCTGGTATAGAGCTACAGTTCTGAAAAAATATTATAATGGCTGGGTCCCTAAAAAGTTTGGAGTGAAGAGGTATTAATTCTGAGACCAGATTTAAATCTGCAGCCAATAAATACAAGTCACATTTCAAATCAAAGCAAACTTACTTATTTATTATGAGCCACTTCCTAGCCATTTTAATCCTAGTTAACCTGGTTGGGCCCAACTCAGTAGCACTTCCTGTGCACAATATATGGTCCATACTCTTGGTATTGTTCCTTTGTGATCCAGCATGATTGGAAGTTTTTCAAGGAAGCAAGAACTGAACCTCCTGTCCAGACAGAATAGTGCCTGAGTGGAACAGCTGTGACTTTGATTTTTGTGGTAGTCTCCAAATCAGTCATGATATCCTGAGTAAATCTCCTATCAAATCCTTCAAAAAGTGATGACCCTCCACATAACATTATATTTTTATACATTTCTTTCCTGATTTGCTCAGGAACATTCATTAAGCTTTTTTGGGCCATGCCAGGGATGCCTAGAAGAGCAAGTCCAGGCATTTGTGGTGGATTGAACAACATCTCAGGGCATTGGAATCTCTCCTTCCCCAAAGTAATTATTTGGCCATCTGGCAATTGGTATTGCACTGTATTGTCTTCCTCTGGACAATTCCACTCAGCCTCAAAATCAAGTGCAACATAACAGCATTTTTGTTTGATATCTTCAATCACATCCAGCATTTTTTCATCTAAGCAGTGCCCCATGTCTTTGAGGAGATCCATCAAAAAAGATGTCACATTGGTGCCAGCAATATCCATCTTTTCTGTGGCATGTGGCAAATTGTACCCTTGATAGACTGGTACAGTATGTGTCACAGCATG